CCTTTCAAGAAATTCTGTATTAAGTCCTCACCAGTCTGGGTTCAGAAAAAAACACAGCACCACATCAGCAATTACCTTTGTCATAAATAATATTGTATCTGCTGTTGATCAAGGGAAATACTGTGCTGCCCTCTTTGTTGATTTAACTAAAGCGTTTGACACTGTTGATCACACCATACTCCTGCAGAGGCTACATGATGTTGGTTTTGACAACTCCTCATTTAAATGGTTCCAGAACTATCTGTCTAATAGATTGCAATGTGTGACTGTACAATCTGATCGCTCTGAATACTTACCACTATCAAAAGGGGTTCCACAAGGTTCTGTATTGGGTCCTGTGCTGTTCACGATCTATATTAATAATATTGCTTCTGTATTTACAAATTGTAAGGCCCAGCTCTACGCTGACGACACAGTTTTGTATTGTTTTGCTGAGACTGTACACTTAGCAATGGAAACTTTACAAGAAGCACTTCACAAATTACTAAATGCACTCCTTGATTTAAAATGATTACTGAATGCAGACAAAACTAAATACATGCTCTTTACATGAGCCAGAAATACCACAGACAATGAGTTGCATATAACAACTCTGGAAGGTCACAATATTGAAAGAGTACCTCATTATAAATATCTTGGCATCTGGTTTGGTCAATCCCTTTCATTTAAATTTCACATTGATACATTATCCACTAAACTACGACAGAGAATTGGATACTTGTACAGAAACAAAGTGAACTTCCCCTGAGTGAGTAGAAAGCGAATAATTGAAGCCATTTTCCTATCTGTTCTGGACTACAGGGATGTCATTTATAGACATGCTTCTGCCTCCACCCTAAAATCATTAGACACAGTTTATCACTCCGCCCTCAGATTTATTACTGGTGACAAATCTTTCGCTCATCATTGCATCCTGTACCATAAAGTTGGTTGGCCTTCACTAACAGTTAGACGTGAACGGCATTGGCTGCTATTTATTTATAAATCACTTGTGGTTTATTAATCTGGGCTTATAATCAGTATCAGACTCGATCAAGTGACTGGCTAATGTTAACGGTTCCACATGTAAAAACGAACTTTGGGAAAACATCCTTCACCTATTGTGCTGCACACACCTGGAACACAATACAAAACACATTCAAACTCAATACAATGGTTACCATGGGTCAACTTTAAAACTTGATCACAGCTCACTGTACTCATGAGTGTAAATGTTATTAACTGTAGTTACCTGCTTACTGCTTATTCTTCTGGTATTATAATCTATGTTTTTTGTCTTCGTTGTTTTTTGTCTATTATTCGTTTTAATTGTACTCTCGACGTCATTGTAAATGAGGGCTTGCCCTCAATGATTTCTCGAGAATAAATAAAGGTAAAATAAAAAATGAAATGAAAAAAATCCTAAGCACCCGATACTGGATAGTTTCTGTGGTGGACACTGAAGCTTCAGTGTTTATCCAGCTCTGCATGGGTCTGTAAACCTTTCTGTGTTCTAACCTCTCTCCATTTTTCAAAAGCATCTCCAATATTGATCCTAGTTTGAGCACGTTTCTGCTCGTGGAGCTTATTAGAAACATGCAGAGGCTTTTTAGGTCGGGTACAATCACTTCTATCTGAACCACTTCTCTTGACCGCTTCCATCGCTGCAACACCTGTTGACCTGATAACTGCTCTCATATCTGACAAACCGAGGGGCGTCCAAAACGGATCATTTCTAAGAACTTTACTCCAGACACACAGCACCTTGAAGCTTCCATCACAGCTTAACCACATGGAGCAGCAGGAGGATGGGGGGGACATGTAAGGTGTGTGTGTGTGTGTGTGTGTGTGTTAGAGAGTCAGATGTGGGATTTGAACGCAGGCGGCAGCGGCACAGACTGTACCTGCTGCAGCGTGATTAAGACATGCTGTTCTCTTTCTTCGCCTCTTTTGACCTCAGCTGCCTCAACTCTTTGTCCTCTTACAACCGTCTGTTCTTTATGTTCTTTTCCTGTTACACACACACACACACACACGCACACACGCACACACACGCACACGCACACACGCACACACACACACAATCAATTACCGTAAAACTTCTATTATTGGCTTTATTTACTTCAGTCTCACATATAAGCACTCCTGAAAATATCTGAATATCTTCAGGAGTGAAGACCGCTCCTGAAATTGTCCTGACCCAACAATCATAAACATCAATCAAGTTTGATTCCAGATCGCCCCCGAGGGCTCACAAACTTTACAATTGGATTGAAATGTGCAAATTTTGCAATGACAGTAGGAAACCTCCCTCAGGGGGTCCCATCTGACAGCACTCACTCTCGTTGCTCTGCTAAGTGTCGCGTGCAGTATTTCTGTGGAAACCAAAGTTTGTCGATGAAAGTCAGCGGAGGATAAATGGCGCCGGCAGACGTCATGGTGATGAACGCTGGTTGGAGGGGTTTTTGCCTCGGGTCGTTATGGAGTCTAGAATCGCCCCAGGACCGCCAGCTGACGACGTCGATCGAGCTCGTGAATCCGCACGAGCATTCAGAGATCTGAGTTGATGCTTGAGTATCTTCATCACGATGCAGTGAGATCTGACCGCGATGTAAAACAACGTTAGCATCACATTCTTTAGCTTGAAGCGGTCGCTCCGACTCGATTCACGTCTGCACGCAGGAAGCTGCAGAAAAATCCAATTAAAGCTTTTAAATTTGAGGGTTGGGGTGCTTTTAAAACCAAAAAGATATTTATTTAAAATTTACACGAGATTTATTAAAGTTGTAGTATTTTGAAAAGGACATTTTGGCTGTTAAAGGCGCAATGTGTAAACTCCACCAGCAGGGGGCTCTCAATCACAACAATAACAAAAAGACGACGTCGACGCTGGCGGGGGGGGGGGAATCATGGGAGTGATTCTCTCTGCTACTCCACCCACCCTCGAGAAAAAAAACTAACTCAGAGTTGACCGTAGTCATGACAACGGTCAACATGTTGTTCTGTCATGGCAGCGACCACAACAACACAAATCCTGTTACAACTTTAAAATGAAGGATTTCTCTGGCTTTGATAACCGTTGGAAATATTTGAGGTGATGTAAGAACTCAACAACAAATATATATAACAGGTTTTCTTTAATTTAGATATTTTAAAATTCTACATACCGTACCTTTAAAAATACTAATAATAGGACATTAATAACACCTTTATGACTGACTCTTCGTTTTGAAGTCGTTTCTTTCCTTTCACTCAACTGATAACAGAAAGATAAATGAAGAGCTTGACTCCTGAAGTCTGCCGCTGGTTCCAACAACACGCTGAACGGACTGATCCTACCTGTCTTTAATTAACCGCTCATTAAGAGCTTCAGCGTGATCCAACAGATTACCCATTAATCCCGTCTTTAATGGAGAAGAGGAGCCGACTTAATGAGAGGCAGAAGTCAGCTCCACACAACAAGAGGACAGGATCTCATTACTGCTTCACACACTGACAGGAGACACAAACGCTGTGAAGAGGAGCGAGAGACGACGAGTGTGGAGGAGGTCAGGAGTGTGTTTGTTACCTGCTACAGGTGCCTGATGGATCAGACTTTACACGATCAAGATTTCATTCAAACAAGTCCTCGAGGAAACATCAGTGCTTCACTCGCTAGAGTCTCATTTAGAGGATTTTAAAGCTCCAATGTTAAACTATTTGACATCTGGATTCATCTGTGGATTATTTTGTCCAATAAAGGGTTAATATTTAGTCTTAAAATAGTTTAAAACATCTTTAAGTGTTTCCAAAACATCGAGATAAAGTCTTGATATCCCCGCTCATTCAGTTTGCAGTGAAAGAGGAGGAAAGGAACCTGACATTATTCAACTTTTACAGGTTATAAATCACACTTTTTAATATTTACATACACTTCTTTTTTAAATCGGGCTGCATTATGAACTATAAAAACAGTTGGTGATTGATGAAAATGTTTTAAAAATGAGTCAGATAACTGATGCAGCTCTAAAACAAAAGGATGCACTTGACACATCCTGCAGAAAATCAAACATCTGGATGCTTCTTCAGCCTGCAGGTTTCACTCTTTTAAACACCTTTATCTCAAACCTCTTCACATAAACACTCTCTCCCTCTCTCAGCCTGGCTCCGAGCCCAGGCTGCATGTTTTTGTACCCATGATACATTCAGGAAGTCATGGCCAGAGAGGGAAAAAACAGGCACAGTCTGAGTGCCCAATAACAACACAAATACAGAAACACACGCGTGTTAAAAACAACTGTTGTGAGGCCAAAACCAGCGTGTGAAAAACATGCATCCCCCTTCTTTTCCAGCACAGACTTTATTTCATGAATAAAGCTGTTATTAACATGATGAATAAAGCATTGCACATCATGCACATCTCCACCTGCAGAGATACAAACATACATTAAAAAACGTGCAGCTCAGATTTGCAGCAGAACAGAACAAAGCATTTCAGCAGTACTGTGCTTTCTGTGGAGGAGTGCAGCCTGTGTGTGTGTGTGTGTGTGTGTGTGTGTGTGTGTGTGTGTGTGTGTCTATGTGTGAGTGTGTGTGTCTGTGTGTGAGTGTGTGTTACCCATCATCACTAAAATATGAAAATGTTTTGTCTCACCTACCTGGCTGAGCTGCTGAATAATAAACGCCTGGTATGTTTTGCAGATGCCCGCACAATGCAGGTATAACCAGGCTGGAAAAGTGTAATAAAACGTCCGTTATCGGTGGTCGTATCGCGGCTTTAAGTTGTGATCATGTCGGGTTGTCTTGTTAGAGCCTGTGACTGGAAGCAGAGAGCTGTGGAGGGTCTTTAACACGCCGCCGCCGCCGCCGCCGCCGCCGCCGCTGCTGCTGCTGCTGGCACCGTTAGCCACCGAATGCTAATTAGCTCGCGTTAGTTTTCTACAACATTAGCCCGTTTTCCGTCACAACGACCGAGTGGCTGTTCGCACTGCAACGACAGCACCCAGGCCGAACAGCCACCCGGGCTGGCCTGATAATGATCACCTGTAACGGGAGCTTACCTTGTGCCTGCTCCGGCTGCCAGACGGTGAAGCCGCTTGGTTGTACACGTTAGCTGGCGGGCTAACTGAGCTAGCTTGTGTCGCAGTCGAGGCTAACAGCGAGGGGAAGTTCGAACCGTTTCAGAGATCGGAACTTTTGGCTCCGCTCGGGGAAAGAGTCGATGATTCGATAAGATTAGACAGTTTTTGATATCTTAGAGGGAATAAAACACAATCTGTAATACTAAAACACGACAAGATTACTGTTTTAAATGTTATTTTTATATCTGTTTATCTCATTAAACTGTAATAGGTCAAAAGGAGTCGTTAACGTTTTATATTAAAGGTAAGAAAGAATTATCTTCATATTATTAGTCTGAAATGAAGAATATATGACAGTAAAGGTCCAACGGAGGAGTCATTACCGATTTTTACACAATATTATTAAATTAAAAATGCAATATATATGATATATGATACAATAGGATATGAAACTGTATGAAACTTTACAGAACAATTTAATACAACACGATACAATACGGAAAATCACGATAGGAAACTATATGAAACTATATGCAAAAAAACAATAAGACAGGTTATTACTACACTCGTAGTGTAGTGGTTAGCACTGTTGCGGCACAGCGGGGAGGTTCCTGGTTTGAATCCCCGTCTGACAGGAGTCTCTCTGTGTGGAGTCTGCATATTCTCCTCGTGCATGTGTGGGTTCTCTCCGGGTACTCTGGCTTCCTCCCACAGTCCAAAGACATGCTCGTTAGGTTAACTGGAGACTCTAAGTTGCCCGTATGTGTGAATGTGAGTGTGGCTGTCTCTATATGTCTGCCCTGTGATTGGCTGGCGACCAGCTCAATGACAGCTGCCGGGGTCGGCTCCAGCCCACTGCGATCCCTGACGGGAAAAGCGGTATAGATAATGCATTGAAAGTTACTATATGAAACGATACGTACATTTGTCTTAAATACGACACACACTATGCTGCAAAAAGCAACAAAAACAACAACATGTAAACAGGAGCCGTCAATACCCATACACATCAAACATCAGTGATTGGAGCAACATGAAGCTTTTGCACGACCCTGCACGTTTCAAAAAACATATTTTATTGGGTTTGGATTCAAAGAGTTCTAAAATGAAAGTTGGCACGCTCCTGTGTTTGAGCTGTGCAAAATGACCCGATCACTGGAAAGAGCCCAAACTCTCATCGCTACCCTCTATAATATATTCATGAGATCACACGGTTAATGTCTCCCACAGAGAAAGGCATTTTCCTGTCCCTCCTCCTCCTCCTCCTCCTCCTCCTCCTCCTACGAGTCAGGCGGCCGGCTGACTGACTGCAGACCAGAGCAGCCGATCATTTCAGAAAAGAGAAAGAGTTGGTGAGAGGAGAGGGGAGTGCGGGGGGGGGGTGCATCATGGATAATGACGTCACCTGTAAGTGATAGCGTATGTACGATCCGTGCATTCCTGCATCTGCAGCTCCTGCACGTGTGCACACAGGCAGTGAGGTGGTGTCGCTCGCAGCTGGGCGGGCGGGCGGGCGGTGTGTTTGGGAGTCATTAGAAGGCGTCTGCAGTGTGTTGCCAGAGGGCAGTGCAGCGTGGAGAATAAAAAGTCCAACCTGCCTGCCTGTGTTTTTCAGACCTCTGTTGCCCTGGAAACAGGTGCTGAGATTTCCCATTTCTTCATTTTTTTTTCTCCTCCACACACTCCATATCACTCCTCCTCCCCTCCACCACCTCGACTCTGCTGCTGCTGCTGCTTCCTCCCCCACGACCTGCCGCATAGTACAATCACACACACACACAATTTCCAATCTACTGCAGTCATTTCACAATGTCACAGTCTGCTCCTGAGAGTGGGGGCTACACACACACACACACACACACACACACACACACACACACACACACACACACACACACACACACACACACACACACACACACACACACACACACACACACACACCACTTAAAAAGCCTTGACCCTGCTCTGACTCTGAGGCTGAACATCCACCACTGCTGCAACAATCTGACCTCCAGGAGAAGTAGAAGTAGAAGAGGAAGGAGGAAAAAGGAGGGAGTAGGAGGGGAGGGGTGAGGAGACAAAGAGGGAAGAAATCAGGGAGTAAAAACACGGCTGGTTTCACTCTCAGGTGTAAGAACGTTGTTCACCTTGCTCTGGGTTTTCTCTTGCAGCGTCTGATTTTATTCAAGAAGCCCAAAATCACAAAAATGAGGCTTTAAAATCTGATTTTAAAAACATTGTTGCTGTAAGAAAAGACCATAAACTGTAAGACGTAAACATGTGTTTTAAACCTGCATTCTATTGGCCAGCAGGGGGCGACTGGTTGCAAAAAAGGAGCTTTACTGTAAGACAGGGCTATTCGACTTTATTGTTCAGGGGGCCAAATTTTCAGGAAGCTGAGGAGCCGGGGGCCACTTCCCACCTGTGGCTTCTTTCCTGCATGTCATTCCCCACTCTCTCTTTCCCTGATTTCCGACTCTGTCCACTGTCCTGTCTCTACATTAAAGGCACAAAAAGCCCAAAAATAAATATATAAAAAAAAAGATCAATAAGTCACAACACGATGTGACACGATATGAAAGGAAACGATACAATAATGTCGGAAGCCAGCTCAAGCTAACCGCTGGTGTTTGTTACCTGCCTCTCGAACAGGAAGCAGAACAACTCTGCATCACTCTTCATCCAACGCTAGGAGGGATTCACCTTCTAAGACTGAAAGAAAAAAAATAAACATTAAAGGGGAAAAATCCACTTTGTGTTTTGAACATATATGTGGGTAACCTGAGAGTCTACTGACCCACAACATGTGAAATAAACCATCCAGTCCTTTGTTTGTGGTCTGCATAAGTCTTACAACACAGAGAAAAATGCTCTGTTTCAAATGTGCTCTCCTTGTGATGTCACAGTGGGATTCTGGTAAAAAAAAAAAAATCCCCTCCCCTCCCCTGATATCTCCACCCATAGACTCCACCCCCAGACTAGAGCTAGACTTTTGCACAGGTCGGCCATTTTTATTCTCTCTACAGAGGAGTGATGTCTACTGGGAAAACTTGGGGGGGGTCATTTCATTTAAAGAGACACACACACCAAAATGGAGCGTTCTGAGAGAGCTGGTTTATACAGGGTCACAAACCTCCTCTGGTGCTTGATTCATGTTATATTTTGACCAAAGCACAGATGTTTCATTTAGACCACAGGGGACTGTTTGAAAAGGTGGAGGAGGGGGACTGTTTGAAAAGGTGGAGGAGGGGACTGTTTGAAAAGGTGGAGGAGGACTGTTTGAAAAGGTGGAGGAGGACTGTTTGAAAAGATGGAGGAGGACTGTTTGAAAAGGTGGAGGAGGACTGTTTGAAAAGGTGGAGGAGGGGACTGTTTGAAAAGGTGGAGGAGGGGACTGTTTGAAAAGGTGGAGGAGGGGAATGTTTGAAAAGGTGGAGGAGGGGACTGTTTGAAAAGATGGAGGAGGGGACTGTTTGAAAAGGTGGAGGAGGGGACTGTTTGAAAAGGTGGAGGAGGACTGTTTGAAAAGGTGGAGGAGGGGACTGTTTGAAAAGATGGAGGAGGGACTGTTTGAAAAGATGGAGGAGGACTGTTTGAAAAGGTGGAGGAGGACTGTTTGAAAAGGTGTTTGAAAAGATGGAGGAGGGGACTGTTTGAAAAGGTGGAGGAGGAGGACTGTTTGAAAAGGTGGAGGACTGTTTGAAAAGGTGGAGGAGGGGACTGTTTGAAAAGGTGGAGGACTGTTTGAAAAGGTGGAGGAGGGGACTGTTTGAAAAGGTGGAGGACTGTTTGAAAAGGTGGAGGACTGTTTGAAAAGGTGGAGGAGGGGACTGTTTGAAAAGGTGGAGGAGGACTGTTTGAAAAGGTGGAGGAGGGGACTGTTTGAAAAGGTGGAGGAGGGGACTGTTTGAAAAGATGGAGGAGGACTGTTTGAAAAGGTGGAGGAGGGGACTGTTTGAAAAGATGGAGGAGGGGACTGTTTGAAAAGGTGGAGGAGGACTGTTTGAAAAGGTGGAGGAGGGGACTGTTTGAAAAGGTGGAGGAGGACTGTTTGAAAAGGTGGAGGAGGTGACTGTTTGGACTGTTTGAAAAGGTGGAGGAGGGGACTGTTTGAAAAGGTGGAGGAGGACTGTTTGAAAAGGTGGAGGAGGAGGACTGTTTGAAAAGGTGGAGGAGGGGACTGTTTGAAAAGGTGGAGGAGGGGACTGTTTGAAAAGGTGGAGGAGGACTGTTTGAAAAGGTGGAGGAGGAGGACTGTTTGAAAAGGTGGAGGAGGACTGTTTGAAAAGGTGGAGGAGGTGACTGTTTGAAAAGGTGGAGGAGGACTGTTTGAAAAGGTGGAGGAGGACTGTTTGAAAAGGTGGAGGAGGACTGTTTGAAAAGGTGGAGGAGGGGGATGATATGTCCTCCTTAACTTTAGAGAGATTATAGATGTATTTTGAGTAGAATGGAGAAACAGAAGGGGACAGGAAGAAGCACTCGCCTTGTTGATAAATCTCATGGGAGTGTTTGTGCAGATGGTTTCAGAATATCGCACACTCGCCTTTTTTCCAGAGCTGTAGGTGGTTTTTGCTTTTGGGACACTTTTTGCACGAAATGCTCGAGAAAGCGAGGAGGGGAACGCGCCGACACGCGGTCCACGCTCTCGTCTCTTCACTTTCAGGCCTTTTTAAGTCATCCTTGTGTTTCTGCCGTGTTGTGTGTGCATACCATTGTAGTGACTTTGCTTTGGCAGGAGGCCGAACATTCCAGGGAAACGGCTGACCCAGAATAACACACACACACACACACACACACACACACACACACAGGATGAGGGCCTCCACCCTTTTTCTTTACCCAGGAATACTTAAACGACTTATTCCTAACAGACACAGGACATTTCAATAAGGGGAAACACTCACACACACACACACAGTCACACACACACACACTCACACAGTCACACACACACACAC